GTGTGTTCTCCCGGCCCCGTGCGGTTCTCCCTGCGGGCACTGCGCGGCAGGGGCAGGGTGAGCACCTTGCAGAGCTTCTCAAGGGTGGTGATTGCTGTAACCGAGAGTGGAAGCCTGGAACTCTCTGCCTTCCACTGGTTGGAATGTTGAGAGTGGTTGTGACTGTTCGCGTGGCTGAAACACACTGTACAACCCTGAGGATACAGACCCTGCCCTGCTGTGCCCAGGCAGTCTGGGTCCCAGTTAGAGCCAGAAGCTCAGTCTGACAGAGCTGTGTAAGGAGAATCACAATAATTTGGCTTGGAAGGGACCTTTAAAGGTCATCTCATCCAACCCCTGCAGTGAGCATGAACATCTTCCACTGAAGAACTTTTTGGGAGGTTGTTGTTTTGGTTAAAACCATGGATTTTCATCCTGGCTCAGGAGTTGCACCAGTTGGCATTTAGACAATGCTGACATAATGCATAAAGCTTGTCAGATGCCTGTGTGCATCAGGCAGTGAGGAACCTGCCTCTGGGTTATAGAAGTGTGTGGATAAGTTATCCTGAAAAAGAACCTAATAATAGGTTGTTATTCCTACTGATAGGACTAGCAGGAACACAAGGCACGTGGATAACGAGCAAGACAAGGCTGATGATGAGTGACTGCTGGTTATCAAGCTATGAGTCATGTTTAGAGAGACCTGCTGTGGTTTTAGTGTCGTTCCCTTCTGTTTCCAGGCAGCCAGGAAAGCTCTGAGTGATTGAAGTACTTGGCTGTGTCATGGTATGAGCACCCTTGGGTGGGTGTGCTGGTGGCATCCTGTCCTGCTGTCGGGTGGCAGAGCTGGGGACAGTTCAGAGCCAGCTGCTGTCAGCACCAAGGCTGTGTGGCTGACAGACAGCAAGTGCCACATGACAGGTCTGTGCTGCCAGGGCTTAGAGCTGACTGCTTACAGCACTCCAGTGTGCCAAACTGGGAGCAATCTGCTCTGGAGGGTGTGTGGCATCTCTGGGAAAGACCATCTAACTGGATGGTCTGGAACACACTTAAGGTTTCTTTCAGTCATCACAGTACTCTGATATTTTATCTCTTTCTCTTTTCAGCAAAGAATTGAAATACATAAACTCCGTCAAGGTGACAACTTGATTCTGGGATTCAGCATTGGGGGTGGCATTGACCAGGATCCTACTCAGAATCCTTTCTCTGAAGACAAGACTGACAAGGTCAGATGCTCTTTTTTCTGTAGCAACTCTCTCTCCAGAAGGCTGAGATACCCAACTCAGCATCTGCCCTTGTCCTCTCACATAGCTGCTACTAAAGTTATTCTCTTGCCACATTAACACTTGCAGACTGAGGTGGTTTGAGCTCTCCACCTTTTCTATTTTCCAGCATTGCACAAGCCTGTCTTTAATTAGAAGCCTCTAATACCCTACAAAGTGGTTTTGCATTGTCAGTAGAATGGCTCTTGAGTATTTATTGCTCCCGTATTTAGTAAATGAACATTTAAGTATTATATTTTTCCCCCCAGGGTATCTATGTGACAAGGGTGACAGAGGGAGGCCCAGCAGAAGTTGCAGGACTCCAGATTGGAGATAAGATCATGCAGGTAAGCACCAAGATAAGACAGTACTAATGTAGCACCAGGTGCACACTGCTGAGAAGCTTCTGCTGGGGAAACACTGTCTTCTGGGTACTTCCCAGGACAGTTTGTGGGGTTATAAATAAAAAGTGGATGTGCTTATGCCATAGCTCAATCTGGTTGTGCTAGAACAGTTACAAGGCACCTGTGAGTCCCTGCACCTGCCTCATGTGCTGTTTTTTCCCCAGGTGAATGGCTGGGACATGACAATGGTGACCCATGACCAGGCTAGGAAGAGGCTGACCAAAAGGAACGAGGAGGTGGTTCGGCTGCTGGTGACCAGGCAATCCCTGCAGAAGGCTGTGCAGCAATCCATGATGTCCTAATCAATCATCATCATTGAGCTGGGGAGGGGTTGGGGAGGGAGATGTATAGATTGATATCGTGCAAAGAAGCAAATACTAGACTGGAACAGGTTGGAAGGAGTGCATGTTCCTACCTGTGGTAAACACTACTTGTTGATTTTAACCTCCTCTGGTGTAACTGGCAGTAGTAGAGCACTAGTCTCCTCAGCAGAGTGCTGCTCCAAAGTCTGCCCTGCAGGTACATGGCAAGACTTTTGTGGCCATGGCTTTTGGGACAGAACAAAGCCTTGTTATCTAAGAGCAACTGGAAAAGCCTTAACTTTGACAGGATTCTTCTGTAGCACAAAAGTTTCCTATTTTAAGAGGAAATGTTGTTCCTGCTATGGAAAACCAGAGGGTTTGCTGTGCCTAAGCTTTTAGAAATGAGCTGTGTTCCCCCCATGCTATCAGATTGAAATGCCAGAAGTGAGAGCTGCACACTGCTGTGGGGAGGAGCACTGTACTAATCCCACCCTGTGTGAGAGCTGGAGAGTGTGCTGAAGGGTTTGGAGCATTATGGTTTCCTGCAAAGATTCCCTGTACCAAGCAGCCTCTTCAGACAAGAAACAACTGAGCAACACAAGTGTTACATTGATCCCTCCAACTTCAGACACTGCAGTTCAAGTTCACTGGCAGAATCAAACCTTAATTCTCCTTGCTCCCAAGTAATTTGTATCAGCTGATGAATCAAGTTGAAGGAATATGGAGTAGGAAAGAAAACACTGTTGCTGAACTTGCCAGAAGAGCTGCTTGTAGAGTTTTCAGTTCTTCATTCCACATGTATCAGACTTGAAATGGGAGGGTTGGGAGTTTGGTTTGTCTTCTACAAGACTTTGCTTAAATCACTGATGTATTGGATGGGTGAGATGAATATGCCAGTAATTTGCAAAAGTGCCTCTTGACCAAATCTAAACTTCCAGTAAGATGCTAAGTTGTTCAAATCAACATGCCACAGGATTGAAGATTCTTGCTGCAACACTAAGCTCAGATTTAGCCCCCTGTGGTTTGTTAGCCAGCTAGCTTTACAATTACCCAAAAACTGGAGTTTTTTAATCCTCTTCAGTTGATTTATACATATCTATACTTTCCTTAAGCAGTCTTCAGGTAAGCTGTTGTAAATAGAACATGAGGAGGTGGCAGACTAACTTATTCAGTACATTACTGCTGTGCCATGTAGGTATGTTGATGGATGCATCTCAGATGTTCTGTACACACCAGCAGGTGCCTAGGACCAGTTTTATATCTATGGACTTACTACAATCCTGCTTTTGAATTTTGTAATTTAAGAATTCCGTGGGAAATTTGAAGTCTTTCAAGTTGAAGTTATTTTTGTTACTATAAAGATACACTGCTATTTGTACTGCTGTTTCACTTGATTTTACTCACAATAAAACAACGTTGGATTTCCTGAGCTGTTTCTGCTTACATTTAAGAGTGTCACATCACTTGGGTTCCTCCAGCTGAGACTTTTTTTTTCCCCTGGCTTGAAGCAAATTGTGGACTACATCCCCACAATGCAGTCTGAGGTTAGGAAGGTTTGGTTTCACTGGGTAATTGTGGTGTTGATGAACTGTCAGACCTCACCTGGGCTCTAGCAGGGGGAGAAGGGCTTCTAGTTTTCCTTAGGTTGAACTTTACTAAGACACATTAGGTTTTTAAAGCATTCAAGTACTGTTCAATGGTGCATTAATCCCCTTCTAGGTCTCCTAAAGGCTCTTCAAGTAACTTAAGACCTTGATCTCAACCTAGAGAGTACCATGTGTAGTTAGAAAGTTGCCCAGGAACAAAAACTTATGCTTCAACTTTAATCATGGGGATCTTAAGATCTGATAAATCTTCACTCTTTACCATCCACCCTGTAGGATTAAAGTCATGTCAGCAGAACTAAGCAAGATCAAGTCAGTAACTAGAAGTATTCAGATTTGTCTTAAGCAGCTTTTAAAGAGCTTTCAGTGAAACAAGAATACAGTTTCTGCTTCTTAGAAGTTGAACTCTTTTTATTAAAAAAATCCTAAGATATGTGCATTTGTTACCAACCTCATTAATGTGTTATTTTCCCCACTGTGGCTGTTAACTGCCAGCCTGAGTGGTGGTGAGCTGTCTGTGAGGAGTCAGCAGCAGCACTTGGATCCAGACACAGCCTTCAGGCATGATATTAAGTGTTGCTTAAATGTGATCTCAGATTTTTGGAAGACAGAACTCTGCTCTTTGTGCTTCACTTTCCATCAAAAAGGCACCACTCTGGTCTTTCTCTTTTGTTAGTGAAAACAGAGCCTCGTGTTGCTTGGACAGCTCATGCTGAGCTGTTTTTGCAGCTTCAACAGGCACAAGTGTCCCATGCGCAGGAGACTTCTCCATGGCTGGAGAGCTGGTTGTCCTTAAGGCACCTGGTAATCAGTGTTTGGCAAGGCAGTGGTTTGTATTCCATACCAGAGAGGATCAAATTATAGACAGAAATCAGAATTCCTGATAGCTGGCAGCAGGA